TGTAGTCTCTCTGTCACCCAGGCTGGAGTGCAATGGTGTGATCTCAGCTCACTGCAAAATCTGCTTCCTGGGTACAAGCAATTCTCCTGCCTCAGCCTCCTGAGTAGCTGGGGTTACAGGCACACGCCACCACGCCCAGCTAATTTTTGTACTTGTAGTAGAGACAGGGTTTCATCATGTTGGTCAGGTTGGTCTCTAACTCCTGACCTCATAATCTGCCTGCCTTGGCCTCCCAAAGTGCTGGGATTACAGACGTGAGCCACTGCACCCATCCCTTCTTTTTCTTCTAAAGGCACAATTGCTGCAGTAATTTTCTGTAGTACATCCTTAGTTGCATCAATGTAGGTTGTCATGGCATAACCTATGTTCACGTCCTCATTTCAAGGTTGGCTTAAATGTGGAGCCAGACGACTGCAACCTTAAGGCTCACCTCGGCTCATTAACCTGAAGCACCTCCTCGGCCTGGTTTTGGATTAGAAACAAGGTAGTACAGAATCCAAATAAACAAGCCTGGGCGGAATATCCAACCGACAGAAAAGCAAAAACTTGTTCTTTACAATTCCAGTAGAATACTTAGGTTTAGCTCGTGTGACACAGCCAAGGATTCATTTTTCGACAAGATGCCCAGTAGACTTGGTGCCATGGGTGGCTTTGCTTCTGCAGAGGATGCCTTTGTTCTTTCCTCAAAGCATGTTATGTTTTAGGCTCAAATGCAAACTTTGAGCAAATGGTCATCTTCACAGAGTAAAAAAAACAATCACAGATTTTCTTTTTGGTTTTGGGTGTTTTCTTGAAATGAGGCAAGACTAATTTAGGTCTTTGGGACATTTGTTTTGGGGGTTTTTGGAAAATGTCATATGGCTTCTCATTGAATTAAGCTTCCATGTTTGGGGATGAATTTATTTTTTGTCACAAGGCTTAACATCCCAACTCAGCCAGGTTTCTGTGTGTTTCTTCTAATAAAGAACAGCAACTATGACTTGGAATATCCCCAAATTATCTTTTGGATTAAAATAGCTTGTTCACAGAATTCTGAAAAATATCTTTCCCTTGTGAGCTATAAACTTAAAGCTACTAACTCCTTTCCTAAGCAGGAACTGATGTTCAAACAATTTGGACTAAAACATAAAGCAAATAAATACTTGTCCCCTCAATTTGCCATCTACTCTCTTCCCTAATTTTGTGTTTGCAATATTAATTCAGAAGAAATTCAGTAAATGGTCATTGACATAACCGATTCGTTGGCTAATAATTATTTCTTTCTTAAGGCTTGAGTTCTTACAGTCAGCCATGGGGCTGAAGCCAAGAGAAAGGCAAGGGAGGAGGCCAGTGTCTAAGGAGGGGAGGATGTTTTCTATTTTACCCAAACTTCCTCATACATGGACCTAAGAACTTGCTCCCTGACAGGGCCAGCTTCATGGTGTGGTAACTGTGCAGCTGCACAGATCACTGCTTTGAGAAGGGCCTCATGCTTGTTGCGTGCTCTGTCACCATCTTGAAAATTTTAATACTTTTTGAACAAGGAGCTCTACATTTTCATTTTTACTCTTGGCCCCTCAAATTATGTAGCCTGTTCTTCTCCTGAGTTATAGACAGCTTGGGCTCTCTGCTTTCTTCTCACTCTTCTCTCCCAGTCATGCCCCTGATCCAGGCTCAGGACCTGGACTTCTCCATTGCCATGTCGTCTGGAGCAGGAAGCTGAGTACTCACCCTACGGGGAGTCAACTTTCAGTGATCCTTCTGTGGATTTTGTGGATTATTTGTCATCTCATTAGTTTTTTTTTTTTTTGCCATCCCATGGACCTCTAGCTGGTTTGGACTTTCAAGAAAAGTCAGGTAATTTCAAGTCATGCAAGCTGAACATGAGGAGAGAGGCAAATATGTTTCCCAGGAAAAATCCTGCAATGCCAAAGCTCGATGAAAATTACATTTCATTTGTAATTTTTATACTCATCAATGATAAACCAGTAAACAGGTACAAAATCAATTTACATTTGGAGTTTACATTAGAATTCTGAAAAATCTTGCTGAACACCTGAATACTTTGGTTTATGATGTCTGTTTCCTGTATACAGTTTCTATTTTTTATGTTGAACCATATGGAGGCTCATTTATTCAGTGTGCTTATTAAATTTTTATATTTGCACCACTTGTATAAGTTGCCTAAGAATTTTTGCCACAAAACTCCTTTCTTTAAATAGTCATGTGTGTCTTTTTTAAAATTTTATTTCTTTATTTTTTATTGCCTTAGGAAATTCTTTTGAAATGGCAATATTTCTTCTTTACCCGATTTAAACATTGCTCACCTTACTATATTCCCTTCTCTTCTGCTACCTTGGTAGAAATGCTTTTGTGAAACCATACTTTATAGTGAAGATTTGTGCCTTCTTGAAGAATATGAAAAGAAATAGTCCTCTCTGTTATTACTCTGTCCATAATACTGAGAGCATTGTGTATTACATGACACTCTGACTTCTTTACGAGAACCATAGAAGACATTTCTCTGCTCTCAGTGAGATCTGGCTTAAGGCCTACGTTATCTGGGGCCATAACAAGCATATAAATCTAAAATTGTGCCAAAGAGAATAAAATGGCAGATGCCAGAGACTGCGAAATGTGGGTGAGGGGAGAGGGGGAGTGAAGAGAGGTTGGTTATGGGTACAAACATACAGTTAGATAGAAGAAATAAATTCCAATGCTTGACAGCAGACTAGGGTGACTGTATTTAGCAACAATATTGTGTATATTTCAAAGCAACTAGAAGAGAAGACTTGAAATGGTACCAACACATAAAAATAATAAATAATCCAATTATCCTGACTTGATCATTACACATTCTTTGCATGTAACAAACACTCACATGTGGCCCATAAATATGTAAATTTTGTGTCTGTCTATCAATCTATCTAGCTATATCTCAATATGGCAATAAGAACAGAAAGAATTTTAGGCCTGGAGACATATAGTCTGGAATAGTGGATGAGAAGCTGAACTGTGTCAGCATTTTCTTCCTCACCTCGTTTTCATGCAGTTCCTCTATAAATAAATTTGAAAGAAATATTTTAAAGATTATCAGCCTGAAGAGATGCCAAAAAAGTAGCATTCCCACAGACCTACACCTCTTGATCTAGCCCGAATAGAAGTACCTCATGCAGTCTAACTTCTCCTGACAACTAGTTTGTTTTCATATTTATGGTCTTTGGGCCTCCTAACCAACCATGGTTTCCTCTTTGAGGAATGAGGTTTGGACAAAAAGTGCATATGAGCTACTGCACACTTGTGAGAGATAAGCATATGGTCCATCGCTCACAAGTGTGCAGGAACTCATGTATGCCTTTTGTCCAATCCTCCTTCTTCCACCAATTTTATTGTCTACACTATTTCCTTTTGCCTCATTTTTCCTACTTCTTTATCTTGCCAATGGTATACGTCTGACTTAACTCCTTATGACCTTAACTTTTAAATTCTTGTTTAGAGGCGTTTTATGCAGATACTATCCTCCTTTTCATTCTTTGTCTTCTTCTTCCTTCCCCTCCACGTTCTGTTGTATGGTAACTTCACAACAGATATGACAATGATTTCATATACCATAAAGTCACAATTATTGGCCTTTCTATTTTTCTATATTTTTCTATATAATATATATTTCTATATATATTTCTATTTTTCTATATTTCTAATTTTTTCTATTCCCTTTAACATTTCTGGCTTTATAATGCATATATTAGTGCAGTTATCCATGTTAATAAATAGTGGTCATATATAGGACAGTGTGCTCAAAAATGTCTAATGAAATGTGCAATTCAAATGGTTCAGAGATGACCAACCAAGATTACTGCAGTTAGCCCCTTTGTTTCAGACTAACTTCCCTACCATTCTATTATTAATCTGTTAGTTAACATAACTAAAGTGCTTAGAACAAACTAAGTACTATATACCTTAGCTATGATTATTAGCCTCCCGCCAAACTTGACTTTCTGCCACCATCTTAATCTTCATTATCACAGATTTGGATTTTTACTTACTTAATAGCTTTAGACAAATGACTTGTTCCCATAGTGGGATCCCAATGTTGGTTCCCTGGTTCCTAGCCTGCTTTGCCAAGTCTATGTGATCACAGGCTGACAGGCCAGGCTCTCCCAGTTAGAGGAGAGGTTGCTGTGGTCCTGCACTGCATCAAAAGATGCATTCCCTCAGCCAAAGCCTTTCCCTTGATCCCTTCTGGTCATCAAGTCACCTCTCTACATCACACAACTGATAATGCCACACCCTAGTGGAAGAGAATCTGTAGACATTAGACTGTCTATGAAGTTAAGTCCACATTTCCTTGGGAGAATCAGAATAACATAGGCTGGAAAGCTGCTCTCTAGGATTTGTGGAGCTTTGTGTTCTATTGTGTCTGCTGAGAAAAAGGAAGGAGGGAGAGCAGCATAGTGTTACACTTTGGAGTCAGATGACACAGATTCAAACCCCGTCCCTGTCACGTAAGATCTTACTGTCTCCAAGCCTCAGTTTCTGATCTGTAAAAGGGCATAATGATAACTTGCCTCATAGAATTGTAAGATAACCCATGTACTATACTTGGGAACTAATAGGGCTGTTTGTTTTTTTGCTAGGTTCTCTCAAATCATGGTGCCAATAGGTTTTTTAATACATGGGAGCACTTTTCATTTATAACATTCTGACCCTTGAGAAAGTCTTCCACTCAAGGGATATTTAACACATTCTACTTAGTGAGAATGTGAAATATTCTTGAAAGAAATAACAAGCTGAGACCTGACATAAATAGCGTTGCAGGTGGTAACAACAGAGAGCAGTATGGCGTGGCTGGAGTACAGTTAGAGAGCTGGGAGGGAGGGCTGACACTGAAGAGCTAAGGCAGGGGTAGACAAAGGAATAGCTTTGTTTCTTTATGATACTGGAAATATTAACTACCACTAAATTGCAACCAACTTTATTTTCATAAGACAGCATGTGCAAAGATCACCTCCGTGCAACACTCAGAAAACTAAAGCAGCACCTTTATTTTATACATACAAACAGTATAAAATGTTTATTATGTAAGAGCTGTGTTTTGTTTACAATATATTACATTGCTTCAAGCCAATGCAAAAAGTTCATACATTATATTCCCTATTTCATTGTGTTTAGAATATATTATATTGTTTAAATGCCACTACCACAATGTAATTTTTTTTTTTTAATACTGAATCTCTGGAATAATGGTAAGGTCAAAATATACTGTATTGAGAGTTTAAAAGTTAAGAGCGATTTTTAAAAAATGTGACAAACATCTAAATATCTGACAATAAAATCTGAAATGCTGTAACTTCAACATTATTAATGGCTCCATCCAAATTCTTGTGACTTACACATTTTTGCCCAATTTAACCTTTCGAATGTTCCCCTGCCCTCAGACACCATAAATGCATTGTGATTTTGAAAATATCTGCCAACTACACACTGAAAATCTTAACCTGATCAAATGACATAATATAAAATCTGTCCCAAAGCACTGAAACAAGAAAATCTATACCATCATGCTACAGACGTACTTAGAAAACTTAAAAGGAAGAGTAAATATCAGCTCAGTGATTTATAATGAAGCTAATAAACTTCAGGCCAGTATTCTTAAGTGTAATGAACATTATTTGAACATTCAACACATGAAAGGTTAACAAAGGCTATGAACTTGGTGTAACTTAAAACGTTTCAGATGTCGGAGTTCACCAGATGTAATTGGATTCAGGTGGATCCCGCCGCTCCTCGGCCTTTTTAAGTGAAGGCGTGTGCTGCCTGAGCTGGGCGCCTGCTGGCCTCAGGGCATGTATGAGGCTGGCTCCATACCCTGCAAAATTATTCACAGCTTAAAAGGAAAGAAACTACAAAACCAGGCTCTTCAGATTCATTACTAACCATTCAAATGAAATCCATTTTTGCCTTTTCAACCCAGAGTGAAAAACCACAATGACCACAAAAAGCTACCTGACTGAAGAGATCTCTGTTAAGAGCAACCCATTTTACTAACTCCATGAAACCAGGTTTCTGTTGGATTTCTCATTCTCTATATAGTCTCGCCATGCAGAAACTCTTGATGCAAGATCTGGGTGAATGTGACTGGAAGGATAGTCCCCATCTAAGGGCTGGTAAGGATCTAGCACTGAAATTTTGAATGCGGCTACAGATTTGGTCATTGATCCTTTTCACTGCACTGCAAACCTAACCTAGCTGATATTGATCCAGTTCAATATGACGACCCTACTCTTCATAAAGATCACATGATTGGGTGTGGCTATTGCACTTATAAGACAGGAATTTTGTAAAAATTAAGGACTTCCATTATACATGTTAAGGAAAAGGTTAAGATTTGAACTGACTCTTCCTTATCAATGGAGATTTGTGTTTTAGTCAAGGTGGTCATCTATCTGTTTCCACCTGGGTTGTAAATGGAATGTACTGAGTTACACAACTTCAGACCTCCCTTCTTCCTACTTGGGGTGATGCTCGGGGGTAGTGACTCATTTCTCATTTCCTAAAACTGATCCAAGGCAGCAAATTACATTGTAAAAGTCTGCCTCCATCTTCTTGTGCATCAAAGTTAAATCAGCATTTATTTGTTCCTTGTGTTTTTATATGCAAACATGCCGTTACGCAGCTACCGAGAACAGAATACTTTTTTCCTGAATGTGTTTCTTTGAATTGTCAATATGTAGTCTAGTAGCTCTTGGAGTGGTCAAAACCTGAGCCACCAATGAACTGGAGTAAATCCCTACCATGCTGCTTGGCCTGTGACCCATGAAGCCCAAACTTCCCTGTTGGTGAGGGTGAGCCTATGCAGGGACGTCTGTCTCCAGTATCCTCCTCCTCACCATGATGCCTGGGTCCCTGGACCTCCCAACGTGTCATCCCACTGGAAGTATGTTCTTAGCAGAACTCTATGCCTCAGAGCTTCCTTGTCACCTCCCTCTAATCAAAATAAACCCCCTTCTTTCAGTTCAATTATTTTAGCTAATGTACAAAATGACTGGGTGACTTCTCCTGGAAAACACATTTGCATTTGAATCAAGCACCAGGTCATCTTCTTGGCATGCAATGCTTGGATTTGAAGGAGGCACACTGATGGCAGAAGCTTTCAGCAGCATAGTCTCCAAGTGGGGGTGCTATTTGGAGGCTGGCAGACCTGCCAGGAGGGCTCATCTACTACACGAGGGCCCCTAACTTGCCTTCCCTTTAGAAGAATGACTGGGTACATCAGAAGTAACAGTGCCCTTGTTCTCCCCTCTTCATCACTTGTGGGGATCACTGGGACCTGGAAGTGAGTCTTAGAAGACCTTTGTAACTAAGTCCTGGGATGTGTGGTCTGATCTAGGTGTGAGGATTTTTGAAAGTTATTTTGATTCTGAGACAAGCCTCAGGGTTTGTCTCCAGTTGAGGGTGGCATAAGGGCTTCGGTTTACTCTTTTCCAAAATGGCGCTAGAAATATTGAGTCTCCTACAGGTCTTTTAGTCCAAAGAAGATCTCCTTATCAGTATGTCCTAGCAGGGATACCATTCAACCATTCCCACTGTGAGAGAAGCGATTTTCCTGAGGAGCTGCACTGCTTATTAAACTGTGTCCACCTGAAGCCAATTTAATCAACCATCCAGTTAATTCAATGGAGAAAAAGCATCAAATCAATGGCTTAGTGTAGTGATACGGTTCAGCTGTGCCCCCACCCAAATCTCATCTTGAATTGTAATCCCCATAATCCCCATGTGTCAAGGGAGACACCAGGTGGAGGCAATTGAATCATGGGGATGGTTCCCCTATGCTGTTCTCCTGATAGTGAGTGAGTTTTCACGAGATCTGATAGTTTTATAAGTGTTTGGCAAGTTCCTCCTATGGTCATTCTCTCTCCTTCCACCTTATGAAGAAGGTACCTGTCTCCCTTTTCCTTCGGCCATGATTGTAAGTTTCCTGAGGCCTCCCTAGCCATATGGAAGTGTGAGTCAAACCTCTTTCCTTTATAGGTTACTCAGTGTCTGGAAGTTCTTCATAGCAGTGCAAGAACAGACTAATACATGTAACCTAGACCAGACACCAACCTACCTTAAAGTAAACAGATGTACAACTACATCTGTTATAGATACATTATCTATACATTATATTATAGCTACATTAAACTAATACAATATGAACATTGTAAAATATAAGCAAAACTTAGAAATTAGAAAGATGACCATAAGTATATTAAATGTATATTTATATATATAAATCAAATTTAAAATATAAAAAATATTTAAAAACTAGTATATTCTTTTAGCACCCCAGTGGATAATTTCAACACTCACTGGGTTGCATTCACCAACCTTTGGAGACTACTGGTCTAGGAAAACATCTGACATGTGAGTGATTTGTTCAACTTGTATCCATTACTTTGGTGACATAATATGGTAGACACAACCTGGAATTTTGTGAATTTGCTTTTTTTAATTAATTAATTGATTTATTTATTTAATTTTAGAGACAGGGTCTTGCTATGTTGCCCAGGCTGATCTCAAACTCCTGGATTCAAGAAATCCTTTTGCCTCAGTCTCCCAAGTAGCTGGGACTACAGGCATGCGCCACCACTCCCAGCTAGGAATCATGTTTTTGAAGAGTATGGTGTGTGACTGATGTCTTCCTTTTCTCAAACTAAAGTGGACAGTGGGCCCAAGCTTAGGAGACTGAGTTCTAGCTGCCAGAAATGCTGAAACTGTGTTGTTTTGGTAATTTGCTAATTGACTGTCCCTCCACTCCACAAGGCAGGGCCTTTTCTGTCTGTGTACTGGTGTGTCCCCAGTGCTCGGATTCATGCTTAGCACAGGAGAGACCACAATCAATACTGAACGCATTTAGCAAGTTTCATTGTGTGTCTAAAAGAGGCCAGCTGTTTATCTACATAGCTAGCTCATTTTTGGTAGTAAATTTTGAAAAAATGTAACTCCATTATAACATCTCTCCCACAGACAACTTTATAAACCTTTTCTTTCCCTCAAAAGAACTCATTTACTTACTATTACCAATACGATTTAAATATTTTAAGAAGCAAAATGCTTCATGTTTTATAATGATACTTGACAAATCATGAATTATAAAATCAGAGGCAAGGAGATACTGATTCCACATTTGATTTAAAAATCTTAATTTCATATGTCATTTCTTTCATAGTTAACATACTGTATTACCCCAAATCAATCTGTATTACTAATTTAGCCTAGAAAATATTTATGATATTTTACAGATGTGATATTTTACAAAGATGCATTACTCTTTACACACTAAAGCTTAGACTCTAAAGTTTAAAGAGGTGGAGAAGTGTGGGGGAGAAGAGGCAGAGAAGCTGCTTTTAATGAAATGGAAAGCAGGGCTGAGTTATAGGTTGACTGTTAGCCTTTGAAGTCAAGAAACAGAAGTGAAAAGGCTGGCTCTTCTTCTGGTCTCCCACTCACTTTTATTTTTATTTTTTTCCTTGTTTACAACTTTTTATTTCTCCCACTCACTTTTATTGCAGTGTCTTCCATGCCAACCTTCTTGACACTGGCATTTGTTGGGTTCATGGCAGGTTCCATGTGCACCACAGCCAGGCTCGCAGACAGCTAGAATCAAAGGAAATAAAAAGAGTATTTCCTGAGCTTTCCTTTTTCAACAGAATTACATAGTTGCTTTCCTTGCAATTCTTTAGAACGTGTTAGTTTTGGCTTCATCCTCTAATTTTTTTTCCTAAGTCAATCTCCAGCCATAAGTTGGTTTTGGACTTTTTGTAAAGTCCTGAGAATGATCTTTAAGCATGATATTTTTCATTTGCAAAAGACGTTCAGTAGGATTTTGAAACTGCTGGATCATGGAAGTTTATTTTCCTTAAGAAAACACCTGGCTGGGCGCTGTGGCTCACGCCTGTAATCCTAACACTTCGGGAGGCCGAGGCAGGTGGATCACGAGGTCAGGAGTTCAGGACCAACCTGGCCAAGATGGTGAAACCCCATCTCTACTGAAAAAATACAAAGATTGGCTGGGTGTGGTGGCAGGCACCTGTAGTCCCAGCTATTCAGGAGGCTGAGGCAGGAGAATCAATTAAATCTGGGAGGCGGAGGTTGCAATGGTCCTAGATTGCGCCACTGCACTCCAGCCTGGGTGACAGAGTGAGACTCCGTCTCAAAAAACAAAACAAAACAAAATAAAGAAACCACCTTATAGTTAAAACATTCAGTTGCATGTGTGAGTATCCATTTTTTTACATGCACAGATTTCATACAACGCCTCTGGTCTACATAAGGAAGCATATATGTCAGTGAAGAAAGGTTAACTGTGATGCCCGGGCAACATGCAGTAGGCACAGAAGTATGCAGTGAGAGACTCCTGCTAGTTTAATGACCCCGTAGCCCAGATTGGCAATGTGTATGGGGTACTTACGCTTTGAACAGAGGTCTCCCTGGTAACCTTTGGAACACTTACATTTGCTTTTACCAATGCATTTACCTCCATTTCGACAGGGTTGTGGGCATTTGCCTGAAAAAGAGAAGAATGCAACTAAACAAGGAACCTGGTGCTTCATTCAGAGGTAATTACATTTTTCAGAGGAATTACAAGGCTTTGAGAGGATAAATGCTTTTAAATGGCAATTTTCATTTATTTCAGATCTACTCTGGCTTTTATTTTGTTTGAGTTTTGTTTTTGGAACAGATAGGATAATAGTTTTAACTTACGCTTTTCGATTATAAATGTGTTGCCAAAATGCTGTGTGTGTATATATATATGTATATATATATTTTTTTAAGTAAAGACGGGGTTTCATCCTGTTGGTCAGGTTAGTCTCCATCTCCTGACCTCAAGTGATCTGCCCGCCTTGGCCTCCCAAAGTGCTGGGATTATAAGCACAAGCCACCATGCTCAATCCAATTACTTTTTAATAAACAGAATAATCTTTTAACTGACTCATAAATACTTGCTAAGATATACTTTACTAAAAGTTATGACATAAAGGGCCCTTTAAATAATCTTTTCTCTGGGTATTGGTTTTTGTTTTTTGGTTCTTTTTGAGATGGAATCTTGCTATTTTGCCCAGGCTGGAGTATAGTGGCGGGACCTTGGCTCACTGCATACTCTGCCTCCTAGGTTCAAGTGATTCTCCTGCCTCATCCTCCAGGGTTGCTGGGAACACAGACATGTGGCACCATGCCCGGCTAATTTTTGTATTTTTAATAGAGACGGGGTTTCACCTTGTTGGCCAAGCTGGTCTCGAACTCCTGACCTCAAGTGATCCTCCTACCTCAACCTCCCAAAATGATGGGATTACAGGCATGAGCCACCATGCGTGGCCGAGTTTTGATTTTTGAATGTCACTTTTTTTGAAAGTGACTCTATACCTGTACCTGATGACAGTCTTTGCCTAGGATTCCCCAGAAAGCAGGACCTGCATGCAGCTAGTTTATTTGGGGAAGTGATTGTAGGAAACAGGAATGGGGGAATGGGAGGGGTGAAACGGAAGGAGGGAAAGGCAACACAAAAGTGTGTTTGTGGGTGGAAAGCAGGAGTATGGGGCTGCTAAGTCGAGGTGCAGTGGCAATGGCTGGCGTGCAAGGCTGGCCAAGAGGCTGTGAGATGTGACACAAAAGGTGCCCAATATCACAGCAGTGCATTTTCCTGGAACGTCCTAGGTCCATAATGATACTTCGTAATTTCTTTTTTCTCTTTGCCCAATGAGTATTACGAATGCTTTTCACAGATCTTTGAATCACAGAATTTTAGAGCTGGAGTAAGGCCCTAGGTGTAAAAATCATGTAATAAATTTCTCACTTCTTTCTCCAGAGGCTATTCTCCCTCTGCAATCTATTATTTGCTATCCTAAGTCCTAGCTTTTGAAGAAGTGGAAGATAAGGTACTTTTTAGCTAGAGCTGAAACCACATCCTATGCCTGGCATAAGATGTTTTGAAGACAGCAAGTAGCCCATAGATTTTGGTAGTGGAGGAGTTTGGATTGCTTTTGTTGTTCTTTTTCTTTTCTTTTTATTCACTTCAGCAGAACACTCATTACAAAGGCTTCTGGGTACATAAGGAGAACTAAAGAAAATTTATCCTAAACCAACCCGCCTTTCACTCTCTAAGCCCTTCTTTTTATTGCCAAAGAAAGCTGTGAAGGAAGTCAACCCCTATATATTTTACTGACAAGTACTATTCATGACAAGCAAAAAGTAAATTCTTTATGAAAATCATTCTACTAAAAACATTTTATCTTTTTATTTACCTAAAAGGACTTTCTTCATATATGAGTAGACCAAAGCAGTATTTAGTCATTGTAGAGACAATATAGACATAACAATATTGGGATGTTAGGGTCTCTCACAAACCTGGAATGCTGTTAGACATTGAGGTTTTTCTGCATAGAGGTGTTCCAGAAACAGTTATTAAAACAAACTTAATAACAGAATATCACCTCTTCATTGACCAAAAGAGGATCCTCTTTTTTTTTTGGCCAGATTTGAATACAAGAATACCATTTACTGTTTAGTTAAGATCTCAACTCTCACCCAGAAGAAGGAATATCTAACTCCAAATTTCCATTTGCATCAAAGAAATACCTGACTCCAACATATACACAAAATTGGGTCATATCACAGTACTCTGCAATGCACCAGGTTTTTTCAAGCGAGCAAGGTATGGGATGATAATTATATGGCAGAAAACACAGAGTACTCATATGTGAACTACTTGGTGGGCCCGAATTTTCTCCTCCTCTATGAGGGGTGAAGTTGGTAACTGGGATAACACAGAAAATGATTGGTGGAGAGAATCCTTTCATTGACTTCAAGAGGTTTTTTGTTTTCATGGCAACAGGGAAGTGAGGACCCTTAGATTCACCGCAGTCAGGAAGGAGGACATTCTCTCCTGGCTATCACACAACAGAAACGTGACTGCAGGAGATGTTAGACATTTGAAAGCCATTACTAGTTCAAAGACTGTAAGAGCCAAAATTCATGAAGATCTGATTGTTTTAAAATTCAGAATACTGGAAACATCTTTAATATGAACTTCTTTTTCCTGAAAATATTTTGCAACCAAATTCTACCCATTAAATAGTGGAAAACTGATTCAGCCTGAGAGATGGCACATTTTTACTTAAGAGACTAAGCCCTAGCTGGGCATGGTGGCTCACGCCTGTAATCCCAGGACTTTGGAAGGCTGAGGTGAGCAGATCACTGGAGGCCAGGAGTTCAAGACCAGCCTGGCCAATATGGTGAAATCCTGTCTCTGCTAAAAACATAAAAAAATTAGTCAGGCATGGTGGCAGGCACCTGTAATCCCAGCTACTCGGGAGGCTGTGGCAGGAGAATCGCTTGAACCTGGAAGGCGGAGGTTGCAGAGAGCCAAGATGGTGCCACTGCACTCCAGCCTGGGTGACAGAGCTAGACTCCATCGAGAGAGAGAGAGAGAGAGAGAGAGAGACAGAGAGAGAGAGAGACAGACTAAGCCCTGCCTGAAGACAAACAGATTTGACTAAGTTTAGGCTGTTGGCATTTTTACTGTAACCAATGGATGACTCCTTGTAAGAACAATGAAATAAGGTATTGACAAAATAAAGACGTTAGATTTCCTCCACCTATGCAATTGTAGGATAACTTAAATTCATGACAGCTTAATGAAGAAAAAAGATAAAAGGGTTTTTAAGTGCCAACAATTGTTAACTCTGGGTTTTAGGATGGTAGGTGATTTTTAACTGTTTCCTCCAATATTCTAAAAATTTTTAACAGAGAACATTTTATATTGAGAACTTTTATAAGAAGAACCCACTCAGTTATTTTTAAAATCCTTTTCTAATCTTTGCATTAGAAAAGGATTATAAATAATTTGGGTACTCTTTTTAACTGAAGGTTCATTAAAGATTCTTGGGAAATCCATGAGTCTTAGATAACAAGATGAATGTACATATCATCCATCCAGATACCTCTAACCATAGTTTTGTTAACCTACAAGCACATCTCACAATCAACTCAGAATGAAGTTTGAGATGGTATCATTCTTCTTCTTTTTTTTTTTTTTTAAGATGAAGTTTTGCTCTTGTCTCCTAGGCTAGAGTGCACTGACTCAGCCTTGGCTCACTGCAACCTCTGCCTCCACGGTTCAAGCGATTCTTTTGCCTCAGTCTCCTGAGTAGCTAGGACTACAGGCGCCTGTCACCACACCTGGCTAATTGTTGTGTTTTTAGTAGAGATGGGGTTTTGTCATGTTGGCCAGACTGGTCTCTAACTCCTGACCTCAGGTGATCCGCCTGCCTCAGCCTCTCAAAGTGCTGAGATTATAGGCATGAGCCACTGTGCCCAGGTGAGATGGTATCATTCTCGATAGAGGTCAGAAGAAATGAAAATAAAGATGACATCAGAATATACGTTTCATTAAAAAACAAAACAAACAAACAAACAAAAAAATACAGCCAGCAATGAGTGCTGGTGAGGATGTGGAGAAACTGGAACCCTCATACACTGCTGGTGGGAATGTAAAATGACGCAACATTTTGAAAATGTTTGGAAAACAGTCTGGTAGTTCCTCAAAAAAGTTGTTACCATGTGACTCAGCAATTCCACCCCCAGGTAAATATTCCGAAGAAATGGAAACGTCCACACAAACATCTCACACACAGATTTTCATAGCAATATTATTCATAATAGCCCCAAAGTGGAAACAACCCAAATGTCCAACAACTGATAAATAAACAAAATGTAGTAAATTCATAAAATGGAATATTATTTGGCAATAAAAAGGAATAATGCACTGATATATGCTACACCATGAGTGAGCATTGAAAACATTAGAATGAACCCAGGTGAAAGAAGCCATACAAGAAATGCCACATCTTGTATGATTCCATTTATGTGAAATGTTAAGAATAAGCAAGTCTAGAGACAGAAAGTAGCTTATTGGTTGCCAGGGTCTGGTGGGAGAGGGGAGAGGGAGTGACTGCTAATAGGTACAGACTTTCTTTTGGGGATGATAACATGTTCTGGAATTTTATAGAGGTGATGGCTACACAATCTTGTGAATAACCTGAATGGTACATTTTAAAATGTTGAATTTTATATGATTGTGACTTATATCTTAATTAAAAATAAGAATACAGGGATCGGGCGTGGTGGCTCAGGCGATAATCCAGCACTTTGGGAGGCCAAGGGGAATACGCGGGCGGATCACGAAGGTCAGGAGATGGAGGCATCCTGGCTAACAAGGTGAAACCCCGTCTCTACTAAAATACAAAAACTAGCGGACAAGGTGGTGGGCGCCTTGTAGTCCCAGCTAATCAGGAGGCTAAGGCAGAGATGGTGTAAACCTGGGGAGGTGGAGCTTGCAGTGGAGCTGAGATCTGGCCACTGCACTCCAGCCCTGGCAACAGAGGCGAGACTCGTCTCAAAAAAAAAAAAAAAAAAAAGATGAATACATAATTCAACTATACTTTTTTGTTTCTATACCTTTTTTTTTTTTTTTCAACTCAAGACCCATTTCCATATTTTCCTGGTAATGTGGTTGCCATGATTTTTTTTTTTAACTTCCGCAGAGGTTTTGGATAAAACTTGCAGTAGGGTGAATCAGGAGCTTTTTTTTTTTCACATTTTTTGATGCAGTTAGAAAAAAACAAAACCAAAAACCAAGAATACAGAACATTGTCTCTGCCAACAGAAGATTCATAAACCTAAGGACATGAAAGGGCATATTTACATTTTTTTTTTTGAGTTTATGAACAAAGATTCATAACCATGAACCAAGTAAGTGTGCAGAGTCTGAAGTAAGTACAGGGGAAAATTGAGGGGAGTTAGTTCAGAGATATTTTTATCTGGGAAGGGTAATTAATAAGAATAGAAACCACACCCAGACAATTAATTGCATGCTCTATGGAAACTTTTTTTTTTTTTCATTTGAACCCTATAAAAAATGGTTACTTCATCCACTACTCATTAAAGTACTTTTTTTTTTAAATAAATTAGAGGTTGAAAGTTCAAACAGGAACTTAGTCTTATTCAACTTTTTTTTTTTTATACACTACTATATACACTACTGTATACACTGTTTGGCTATACCAAACAGTTTTTTTTTTTAGATACAGCTGGAAATGAAACACAGACCAAGTTTCCCTCAACCAACACATCTTTTTTTTTTGAGACACAGGACCCTTAGTGGACAGGCTGACCTTCCTTTTGCTCTTTCTTGTTTTTTTTTTTTGGTGCTATCTGTTCTTCTGGATTGTAAGGCAATCTAGGAGGGAGTTATCTTTTTTTTTTGTTAAAGAGAAGGCTACATGACTTGCTGAGAGCTACATGGCTGGTCAGTGGTTTTTTTTTTACAAGCAATTGGAATACTGGAATATTGATTCTGAAAACAATGATAAGCTACTTTTTTTTTTCCCTTATGTTTTTAACTTTTGTGTATTGAAGTATGACAAATATATAGTAAAGGCATAATGTGCACCAATCTTAAGTTTACAGTTCAGATATTTTTATTTACATAAACAGATGTTTTTTTTTTCACCAATCAAGATACTTAGCATTCCATAAAGTTCCTTTTGCTCCAGCTGTGATTCTTGTTTCCACCGTCATCCATTAGTTTCACCTATTAGCTTGAACTTCAAAAAGATGGGATCATGCAGGAGGTAATTTTTTGTGTCTGGTTACTTTCACTTAGTATCTGTGTGGTTCATTTTTTTTTTTTTGTGTGCTATTATTTCATTCTTTTATTATTGCTATGCGCCTTTTTTTCCTCTTTTTTTTTTAGTCTACCTTTTTCTCTTAGATGGGTTGTTAGGCTCAGTCTAGGACATCTGTTTTTTTTTTGCAGGGGAAACAGGTAGGTAGGTAAACAGATCCCAGCTGTCCCAGAGCTCTGATCTACATTTCCAGTCTGAACCTCTGGGTTCCACATAATGAGGAGAGGACAAAATGACTATTTTTTTTTTATGCAACATGATGAATAATCCAAACCCAGACATAACCGAGTCAGAGATCATTTTTTTTTTTTCCTGTGAGGTAAGCTGTGTCACTCTGCCCCACCTTCAGCCAAAATGCACGTTTTTTTTTTCTAGCAAAAAGAAACCACTGGCCTAAGACCTTAGACAATCTATTCATTCTCTTTTTTTTTTCAACTCCTTCTTGATAAAATGAAGGGGTTATAAGATCTCCCTAAGCCAAAATTTTTTTTTTAGTTAATACTCACTTATTTCACATTGCTCTCCCTCTAGTCCTGGAGGGCAATTTTTTTTTTCAGGGTAGAAACAGGTCCCTCCGTTAAAGCAGGTGGTTGAGCAATTTGCTGTTAGAATGAGCAACAGGGGTGTTGCATTAGACGGTAGGTTAAGTCTAACACAAATTTCACTTTTTTTTTTTTACTACTTTTAGGCATCTGCTGCCTGTCCATTTCCTGACTTAAAGAAATAAGCTGCTTTACAAATATAAAAATTGTAACCAATTGCTTGCCTATGTGCAGACTCCAGAACATTTTTTTTTTTCACACACATCATATACTACCCACCCGTAGGAGTTTCCATCTCAGTGAAGAATTTTTTTTTTAAAAATTAGCTTTTTAAATTTTTTTATACACATCTATGCCCTTAAAAGAAGAAGAATGGTATAAACCTAAGGATGTTTTTTTGTAAACATCAGATTGGAGGATAAAGGAAGATTTTTTTTTTGAAGACTTACTTTGGAATAGATAAAAGAGAAGTCATAAATATCAGGACCTGTTTTTTTTTTAAAGCTACTTTCTTTCAGGATAAGATGAACAAAGGTTTATCTTAATGGAATTTTTTTTTTTAATAGACTTTTATGACTTTTGGAGAAAAGAGTAACTGTATTCAGAAAAAGATTTTTTTTTTAGGTGAGATGCCATAGGTAGGAGTGTGGCCACAGCATGGACCAGACGACAATTTTTTTTTTTGTATCACAGTGGGAGCCCAATAACCAGATTATCCAGGTAGTAATCACACTTTTTTTTTTTTCCTAAACCTTCTCGCACAATGTCAATTTCTGGAATTTCACTGCTCACTAGCACCTAAAATAGAGGGAGGATGGATAAATGGGGAGAGGAGGAGAGGAAATATCTAAAAATATTTTTTTTTTCTCATTCTATAAAGGAAATTAAAATGAGAGCTTGGATTTTTAGCAATTCCAGTTATATGACCTATTTGTTCTTGTCCCATATAAAATTGGCCAAAATTCGCTATAGATGAACTTTTTTTTTTGTAAGCTTCCAGTAGGAAAATCAGAAAAGAAATCCAAAAGTTCTAAGTGTATGTTTTCTTTGTGGAAAAAAAGTCCACAAAGTAAAATGTTCTATGAATATCATTCTTCTTATTTTTTTTTTTGTGTTTAAAATCACAAAGATCTCCCAGTTGAAGGCAGTGCTGTACTCACTTTTTTTTTTTAAAACTCTTTTTTTTTTTTTTTTGGTTTGTTTGTTTTTTGAAAGAGACAGGTTTTTTTTTTGTCTCCCAGGCTGGAGTCCAGTGGCACAATCATAGCTCACTGCAGCCTGAAACCCCTGGGCTTAAGGGATCTTCCTGCCTCAGCCTCCCAGATGACTGGGAGTAAAGGTGTACACTACCATGCCTACTTAAGTTTTGAAATTTTTTTGTACAGATGGAGTCTCGCTACATTGCTTTTTTTTTTCACAAAAAAATCAAACCTCTTAACGTGGAAGGGAGTTGTAGTATTTTGGTATGGGATTTAGGATTTAGGAGAACCAGCTCTTGCGGCCTCCTCTTTGCTGCAGTATTGCTAATTTTTTTTTTTTGTTTTTGTAAATGTGCCCTGTCTCCTCACTTCTGTTTCTCTTGGAGATAAAAGGGAACGATGAGATCAGTGCCCTGAAAAACTTTGGGATCAGTGCCCACTTGCCCCATGTTTTTTTTTTACTGCCCAATTACTGATGTGTAGAATGCAATGGTAGAATTCAGCAAAGTTGTTTTTTTTTTTGGCCACACTCTTAGTACTTGTATGCTATTGTATTGTCATGAGCAAGTTTCTCTACATTTCTGTTGTTCAATGATTCTTGATTAGAAAAACAAGCAGCTAGAGACATGAAGTTTTTTTTTTTGGGGCTCAGGCCCCACTGGCCAATGCTAAACTCCTTAGGTCCTAAAGGTTGTTTTTTTTTTAGGGCCAATGAAAGTTATTCTTTAATATTTGTTCAAATAGATAGTACTGAGGTCTAGCTCCACAGTAGTAATTAAATCATTTTTCCAGAGCCTCCACACATTCCTTCCTAGAGAATAAAAGCACCTTTTGTTGAGGCAGAAAAAAATTTTTTTAGTATTCCCAGATCTCCAGTGAGACCAAGTGGAATTCCAACAGACTTTATAAAAGAATAAAGAAGTTACTGGAGTCTGATATTTTTTTTTTTCTTTCATTTGAAAGATAAAATATTATAAAATATAATATGTACTGGAATATTTTTTTTTTTATTACTTTAACAGTGACCATGTGGTGTTTGTGACACCACAGCACTAGAAAATTTTTTTTTTTGACACTCCTTTATGCAAACCACACCAACAATGGCCACACCTACGTAAGAAGGTCTCTTGTGAATATATGAGTTTTTCAACTAAATCTCTGGAGGATTTGTGTTATTTATTATTTTTTTTTTGGCCATAAGAGTTTAATTCTGCTCTAGAATGCCCAGTTTTAAAATAGCAGAGATACTGAATGCTAAATTTAGACAAAAAGATTCACGGTAATGAATTTTACTCACTGGCTGTTTTTTTTTTTTAGAGTAAATAGTGCTTAATCTTTATGAAAACACATTAAAAAAGGTTTTTTTTTTTTTTTTACTATAGTTTTAAAAGACCACTTTAAAAAAGGCAGAAATGCTTTCACATATTTTTTTTTTTTAGTTATTATATATAGCTCAGGGGTAAGGGACAGGAGGGTCAGTGGCTTAATTCCAAGTCTAGAGATAGAAAAAGCATGGTCCACACAGAGATCAAGTTGCCTGCCCAGGTTCAGTCACTTGTGGAAGAATCGAGTGCTGAATTAGGTAGCCTGGGTGGCAACATGGTACAGTTTTTTTTTTTAATTTGGGTCAACCGACTCAAGTTCCATAAACCTCACTTTGCTTATCTAGGTTTTTTTTTTTAATACTTTACATATCTCAAAAGATGTTCAGAGTAAAATCACATAACTGTATTTTTTTTTTAGAGTAAACAACCATAAGTTATTCTGACTCATACTGAAGGCTCTTTCCTTTTTTTTTTTTTACAACAACAACAAAAAACTGCTCATGGCAATCTTATTTGGTACTAACTGAGTTTTTTTTTTAGAGACACTTTTCAAGAATAAAATTTATTATTCCATCTTAACTTATATGTTTATTGACAAAAAACAATGCTCTATTCATACAATTAGCATTTTTAACACAAAGATAACTTCATTTTTTTTTTAAATTTCACAGCATAGTCTTTATCTTTTTCCACTTAAAAGATGTGAACTGGGCAAAATAAACAAGTATCTTGTAAAGAGTATGAATCATTCAGCAATTTTAGGGCCAAGTTTGAATACACTTACTAAGAGTAAAATCTGGCTGTGTGGCTGCAGTGTTGAGAAGGAAGAGCCCGATCTCTCTGGGATGTGATTTGTGAGCGGAGTATTGAATCAGGAGTCAGTAAACTTCTAGGTTAGGCAATGTATAGCAGGTTGTTTAATTTTAGCCTTGGAAGTTCACCCACAAAACCGATTTTTTTTTTTTCAAAATTCCATGTGGCACAGACCAGCTAATGTTCACAAAAATTTGCACTCCTTTTTTTTTTTATGAGATGTCAGTGAGAGACAGCTGTCCGGCCAGGGGCAACATTTCTTCTTTTTTTTTTTAGGTAGGGCCATGAGGCTAATTCCTACCTATGGAATAGGTGTGGAAGTTTTTTTTTTTTTTTCTGAGCCAGGGCTTTAAATTTTTTAATTAATTAATTTATTTTTAGCAGTGTTTTTTTTTTTCCTTCTCTGCCTATTGGCTGGATCTAGAGAGTTCCAAAGCTCTAGGCAGGACCACAGATAGATGGTGCCTGGGCTCCTGAGTCACTTCATGAAGAAGAGCTGCCCTGCCCACTGACCAGGCAAAATGCACTGGAGCATTCTGTGAATGAAAATAAACTTTTGCTATTACGCTTTTTTTTTTTTGGGATTTCAGTTACTATAGCAGCCATCTTTACCCTAAGCCATACACTCTATTTTTTTTTTTGCTATGAAGAGTGAGGACATATAAAGTAACTCATTCTAATCAAACATTTTTTTTTTTTTTATAACTTTGTTCTTACAAAGAAACTGTTACCTTTGTCACAGTTCACTCCATAGAATCCAGGTGGGCAGATGCAGAAACCAGGAGTCACACAAAGTCCACCATTCATACACCGTTTTTTTTTTAGGGCTTATAGGGAGAGAGAACCCTGATTAAGGCCAAATGGTATTTTGGAGTTTTTTTTTTTTGAAATGTCAATAATACAACAGGTCTACATTTTCAAGCTTTGTGGTTGACTTTTTTTTTTTCACTCTTCAGAGATACAAGTTTGCTATATTAATATTATTTTTGTGGTATATTTTTTTTTTTTTTTCAATTTCTCAGCCAATTTCTTAGAGATGACTTTTGGATTGGTTCCATTTTTTTTTTTGAATAAATTTTCCCCAGAATCATTTTGACTAAGATGTAGTCTGCTTAAAATTTTTTTTTTTTTTCAGTCTGCCCCATTTCCTTAATCTTCTAATTCCAAGATAAATGCAAATTTTTTTTTTAAGAAAAGATTCTTCTTTCTTACTTATTTTAAAATTATTTTTTAACTATCTTTTTTTTTTTATTCTTATTTCTTGAAGATGAAAAATATTTTGCTTACTCTAGTCAGATAAGTTTTTTTTTTTTAAACATCTTATGATTAATATTCGTTTCCATGCTTATCTTTTTGCATATATTTTTTTTTTTTAATTTCCCTGAAATTGATGTACTTACTACACAAATTCTTTTCCCCCACTTTTTTTTTTTGTAACATCATAAGTCAGATATATTATTCGTTGTGAATCAAGCTACTTTTAATTGGAATAATTTCAGATCAGTGGTGATACTAGCTTTTTAAACCCAACTTAAGTGGAGAAAATTTTTTTTTTAATTATCATAAGATTATGCCAAAGTACAGTGGCTGTATTTGTGAAGTGGTACGAGTTGGGGGAGATGGCCAGGAATGGCCACAAAAAGTGGAGGCATTGTGCCAAAGTTTTCTTTTTTTTTTACCCGAAAAATAATTTCAGGTGTTAAAAATCCACACGGGGCTCCTGCATGATTTTTTTTTTCATTAGGAAGGGAGCAAGGGAAGTCGGCTCTGTGTCTTACCTTTCTCACAGTTTTTTTTTTGGAACCCATCAGGACACTCGCAGATACGTCTTTCATTACAAAAGCCTCCATTTTTTTTTTTGCCTGGGCACTCAGCTTCACCAGAGAGAAACAAAGCTTATATGGACACCCTTTTTTTTTTTTTGGGTGAATCACAGCCAGCATGAGACAGTAGTGTTCATTTCTGTTCTACCTTTTTTTTTTATCATAATTGATCAAATACCAGTACTTCCAACTCATTCCCTCGATATCACTTTTTTTTTTTTAAAGCTGCTGCAGAGTAAGACTTTGCCTCTCTTACTTCCAATAGTAGGGGGCTCATGGAAGAAGGTAAGGCAAATTTTATTCTGCCTTCATCTCCTCCTATGGATCTACTGTTTTTTTTTTAATTCACACTGCAATTGAATGAATGGTATTGCCTTTCCCCTTTCAGAGGGTAAGATGACTTATAGGCGCATCTTTAGAGCACTGAAAGGCTCCAGAGCTTAAATTCTGAGCTTTTTTTTTTTGTATGCAGATGCGAGAGGAGCCTGGGCCTTTATGTTTAAATGGGCTTCTGGTTTTTTTTTTGGAGGTACTGAGTGAAGCCTTGACCTGGTAGGGATCACTGGCATGAGGTGGCACCCTGTCCTCCATGGATGTGAGCAGCATCAGGCTTTCGTTAAGGGTTATATTACTGTTGTTTTTTTTTTGTGGGAAGTGATGGTAATGACAAGCCACCTTGCCATGAGCAAACAGAGCAATTTTTTTTTTGAAATTCATGACGACAGGTAAGATATACTGGGACTCCCAACAACTGTGTTGTTTTTTTTTTGAGGGAGGAAGAAAAGGTGTTTTGAAAAGGTTCCTATTCCTAATATTAAAATTTTTTTTTTAGTTAGAGAAAGTCTATCTTAGTACTGTTGCTAAATCCTGTGCTTATCATCTTTTTTTTTTGTTGCTGTAGTTACACAGCCATCATCCAAAAAACCATGTGTGTGTGTGTATTTTTTTTTTTATTTGGCCCAAGTCACACCTAAAGCCCTTACAACATGTCTTCTCTTGAATCTTTTTTTTTTCTTACCTTGCTGACATGTTTTAAAGAAGATAGCATTTTGAGGTGTCTGGAGAATGGTGTTGCCTTCAGAATTCATAACAATCACATTCACTTCAAATGCTGCCACCCCATCCTGTTTTCCAAGACATGGGAAACCAACTTGAACAACTAAAAGAAAAAAAGAGAAAGTATGGGTTTTTTTTTTATCTAGTTGATTCTAGTTATACAGAAATCTTGGGAAGAGAGTCAAAGGACAAAGCAAAAATGTTCACATGTTGTGGATTTCCTTGTATCTCCACTGGAATAGGAACTGTATTTTTTTTTTTTGGGCTCCACAGAAGTTGGGCATCATGTGAGGTGAAGAAAGAGTGAATGACTCTCATTAATTTTTACCTCATTAATATGGAATTGGGGATATTCTGTTCATAGTCTAAACTTGTTTTTTTTTTAATATTTTCCCTGGAAATTAAAGATGGAAAGAAGAATCATAAAGTGGCTAATTTTTTTTTTGTTTAGCATGGGAAGAACAAAAAGACAAACAAAAATAAATAAAAAGTGGTTTTTTTTTTTTAGAAACTTTGTGGCATCTTCGTCAACCTCCATATAATCCAAAAAGGGCTAGTTTTTTTTTTTTCATAATCTCTTAAATAAAGCCCGATGAGCAATACCCCACTGGTTTATGTTTTTTTTTTTTATGTGACAGTGACAAAATATCTTCATTGAAAATATTTTATGACTCAGACTAGAGGCCAATCATTGGACTGAGTTAATGAAGTTAATATTTTATCAGGCTGTTTGTTAATAATTTTTTTTTTTATCTCAGGCATCTAGAAGAGAGTTTGATGTGATGAAATAATCTCATGAATAGCGTTATATCTAATAGTTTATGTTCCTAAAGAGAAGTTTCTCTTTCTTGTGAGTCTACACTTTTTTTTTTCAAGTGTTGACAATGAAGTCACAAAGCAGGGATTGGGAACTGAAGACACTGTTTTTTTTTTAGGGAAGGAGGACACCCATTGTGGGATACCCACAAGTCACTGGGCGAAAATGGGGCAAATCAGACACAACCATTTGCTGAGAAGCTGATTATCTATATTTCCAACATCCACTTTTTTTTTTTAACATATCCACTGGGTAAGATTGATCTAGGAGATCCACCATACTTGTTCTTTTTTTTTTTTATAAAGAAATATTGCTAATGGGTATATTTTTTGCTTCATTTTATTTCTGCATTTTTTTTTTTGATCATGAACCACTACATCACTAGAAATATACAACGTAAATATTCATCAGTTTTTTTTTTTGCCCTGCCAGTCATTCATTCTCTTACCAAATACTTAGCACAAACTCTGGGTTTTTTTTTTTGCTAAGAACTGGGGTCACCTATAAGAAGATGGTCTCTCCAGCATGGGCATCTATTTAATACAGTGTAGACATTGGATTCCTAAAAGTCCTAGTTGAGAAACACCACTGCTCTTTTTTTTTTATGGTCAGACAAAGAGAGTGTTCAAAGAGGCAAAGTCTTGGCTTCATGAAACTGTTTTTTGTTATACAACTCAGTAATTTTACTGAACCACCCTGCAGTTTGTATTTCCTGTTTTTGTTCTCTTCTGATGCCAGAAGGCAGGCACTTCATAACTGTTAAAGATCAAGAGTTTTTTTTTTTTTTGTAGTGTTTAGGCATATAGGAGTCTGTGGGATAAAAGAACAGTTTAGCAGCTTGGGGGTATAAAATAGCCCTGTAGAATAATGAATGCTACCTGGATGCTTAAGAGCAAAGATTTTTTTTTTTGGTTACTTTTTAATAATGCAAGGTACTTTCACTTCTCCTACTGGAGGGACTGAGCTAATGAGGCTAATGAGTAACTGCCCTGCAATGGTCTAAGGTTCCCATAAACTTCTTTTTTTTTTTTTTCTACAAACAAATCCTACATCTGCTTCTAAAAGACTGTGTGTGTAAGGGGTTTTTTTTTTGAGGGAGTTGTATATGCAGAGGATGTGTGTGTGTGTGCAAGTCCGTGTGCATTTTTTTTTTCATGTGTACGTATCTCCTGGTTCCCAAAGAAGGCTTGTTGTTTTTAGTTTCTTTTTTTTTTAAGTGTTACCCACTTTTCCCTCTACATTTATTATTTATAAAGAACCCAAAGTATTAGAAAATTATGTTCTATCTAAACATGATCTATTAAAATATCCTCACATCATATGTTCAAAATCTTATGTGTCAATTTCCTAAGAAGTAGAATTTCAGTAAGATTTTTTTTTTTTTTTATTTTTTTTTTAAAAGTGAAAAAAGCACTTAGGATACAAGCATTAAATTAGAAATTCAAAGACGCAAGATTTACCAGAAGCTGAGCAGGTAGGTATAACTGGTAATTAATGTATTTTTAATGGTTTTTTTTTTGCTTATATTCCTTTATTAATCAGAAAAAATATATAAAATAGAAATTGAGAGATGTTATGTACTTATTTTATTCTGACTGCTTCTAAAACAAAACAAAAGAGCAAGAAGAATTTTTTTTTTTTTTATCTTTAGCCAGGTGCTGGCTCATGCTTGTAATCCCAACACTTTGGGAGTTTTTTTTTTGCAGATCACTTGAGGTCAGGAGTTCAAGACAGACCCTGGCAACATGGTGAATTTTTTTTTTTACTAAAAATACAAAAATCAGCCAGGCATGGTGGCATGTTCCTGTAATCCCTTTTTTTTTTGAGGCTGAGGCAGAAGAGTCACTTGAACTCAGGAGGTGGAGGTTGCGGTGATTTTTTTTTTACACCACTGCACTCAAGCCTGGGTGACAGAGGGGCACTCTGTCTCAAAAAATTTTTTTTTTGAAAATTATTTTCGACTAAAAAGGAACGCCACGTGACATGACATGAGATTGTTTTTTTTTTGTATTACAAGAATTTGGTGGCTGGAGTGCCTTTGTTTTCTCCACAAAGTAATTTTTTTTTTCCAATGCCATCTGAGTGGAATCAGCGTATCCAGATCTCTGGAATAGATACTTTTTTTTTTTGGGCTACACATCTCAGGTGAATAAATCTTCACCCAGAACCCAAACACATGTTTTTTTTTTTCAGATCCTCTAGGGGGGCTGTTGGTCACACCTGCAGCACTGTGATGATCAATTTTTTTTTTAAGTTATACTCCTCCTGTCTACACCCATGATGGCACTTAGATTGGGAAATTTTTTTTTTTTTGTTTATTTAGTCTCCCACTCTTATGGCAGTGGAATGCAACAAGGAAGATCTTTTTTTTTTGGCAGATAACTGTAATCTGAAAATGCCCTTTGTAAAAGTACCTGATCTTCTTTTTTTTTTTGAGACTTAAATTAGTTCTGAAGGGGATTTGTATTAGTCATCTGACAAAATTTATTTTCATGTTCCTCAAGAAGAATAAGACTAAATTTTTTTTAAAAAGAGAGAGTATGCCATTTTTTTTTTTAAAACACTATAAACTACAACTATCACAATAGTAAAATAAAGAGTAATCTCTTTTTTTTTTCTATGTGTAGAAAAACTTAACGTGAACTAAACAGTATATCTTGAATCAATTCAACTTCTCATGTCAGAAAAGTTAATGACTCAAAAATAATTCAGTTTAGAGCCTTATTTCATTTTTTTTTTATAAATTTTTATAAAATGCTAGATGCATATGTAAGTTATCACTTAACTGCTTTCTGAAATAGGAATTAGTACCAAAACATACATGCAGTGCAAAAAATTGCAAGGGAAAAGATTTTTTTTTTCACATAGGATTTTAAAGCCTCTGCATATTCTCCTCCAAAATAACATAAAATTTTTTTTTTTAAGTGAAAAATATGCAATAAGTGGTAAATATACCTAATATACAACAAGCTTTTTTTTTTTTTAGGAAGAACACTATTATCTCAATATAAAAATGAGCATGGTACACATTTTTTTTTTTTTTTTAGATACAAGAAAATTTTTTTTTCCTTAATAGGAATAAAAAATACCAAAAGTTTTTTTTTTTAAATGACTTTTTACTTTTTCTTTCTTTTATCTTTTTTGAGACTGACTTTTTTTTTTTTTTTTGCTCTGTTGCCCGGGCTGGAGTGCCTTGGTATGATCATATCTCACTCCCTTTTTTTTTTAACCCTCCTGCCTCAGCCTCTTGAGTGTCTGGGACTATGGGCATGTGCCATCATACCTGGCTAATTTTTAAAATTTTTTGCAGAGACAGAGTCTCACTATGTTGCCCAGGCTGGTCTTGAATTCCTGGGCACAAGCAAGCCTCCTCCCTCAGCCCCCGAAAGTGTTGGGATTATAGGTGTGAGTCACCACACCCGGCCCGACTTTTTACTTTATTAGCCACTGAAGTAGTTAATTTTTTTTTTTACCTATGTTGATGAGATTACAGTAAGCCAAGCATTCTCCCTATTGCTTAACTTTTTTTTTTACGGGTATGATAACCTTTATGGAAAGTAATTTGGCATTTTGGCAATTTGTTTTTTTTTTTTTTAAAAAGCTCATAGTTCCTATCCTTTGACACAATAATTCAACTTTTAGGAATCAATTTTAACAAAATAATGAGATAAGCACCAGGATTTTGGTATGCACATTAACCCAACAATTACTTTCTGAATACCTGCTCTGTGCTGGGCCCTGGGGTGGAGCCACAGTGAACAAAAATTTTTTTTTTTATGTGCATGGAAGTTACCATCCATTAGTTTAAAAAAATTGTGATATTTCTATTTTTTTTTTCTAAAAACAATGTCATTAACAAGTAATAAGGGAATGGGTATACAAATTATGTTTTTTTTTTAAAATAGAATATTGTAAGATCATTAAAAACAACTTTTGAAAAAATCCATAATTTTTTTTTTAATGGTTATGTTAAAAGGTTAAAAGCAAAAACAAAAAATCATGATGCAAAACCAAATATGTATTACTGCAAGTATGTAAAAATTCAGAGAAAAAAGATTAGAAGGAAATACATTAGGATGTTAACACAAGGTGACTTGTGATCTCTACATATTTCTAAAAGTCAGAAATTCTGGGCTCTAGTCTCAACTCTACTGCTTATTACTATCCTAATATTTGACTTTGGGCAAGCCAGTTTTTTTTTTTAAGTCTTAATTTTTTAATTTAGAAAATGGAGCTGCAATTCTGGATTTGACTTTTTTTTTTTATTCAAATTAGATAGCACAAGAGTGGGTCTCCTGTAAGCTGAAAAGTTTGATTTTTTTTTTACATACTATTATTTTCTTAGCAAAGAAGGATGATTAGACTAGAAATGTTGAACCCCTTTCTCCCATTTTTCCACGTCTCCTCTCTCCTTCAAATTCTAATTGAATACAATGCTTTTTTTTTTGGAATTTTCTTGACTTACCCCATCTGCCCTCCAATCACTTACTTTGCATCTTTTTTTTTTTTTTGTGTATCTCATTAATCCATACATTGGCCAAATATATCTCACGAGATGTTTTTTTTTTTTCTTTTTTTTTCCTTTAAAAATGTCTTGAATCATTTATGAACTTAGTGTGGTTTTTTTTTTGGCTATTCTGAATTTTTAGAAAATTATATAACCATAATTTCTTCACTCCCATTTTTTTTTTTTGCCCACAGAATAACAACTGAACTGTCCTAAAATCAACAGATCTCTTTAGTTTTTTTTTTCATAACCTCTCTGATGGTAGGACATTTGCATCTTAAATATTCTCATCATCATTACATTTTAAGTGTAAACCTTGCTTCAGGCAAAGACCACCCACCTGATGCCTTGTGAGGCACTGTTCCCAGCAGAGGGACATTGACGGTTGGATCTGCCATGATCCCTTTATCCAGGGAGCGCAAGGACAGGAATTCATAGAAGTATTCTGCCTACAGAAAAAGGCACTGACAGTTAGTAACATGGAAACCACAGAGAGGGAGAAGGCACCACTGAATTCATTGTCCATCTGATGGGGCAGAGTTTTTTTTTTTTACAGGAACTCTGAAACACACGGCATCCAAGATACTGGGTAGGCACAACGTTTTTTTTTTTGTTAGACTCTGGAGAGAAGTGATCTTTAAAAACATTAAAAATAGTCACAATTTTTTTTTTGTTTTTTGGGGTTTTTGTTTGTTTGTTTGTTTTTTGAGACAGAGTCTTGCTTTTTTTTTTTGGCTGGAGTGCAGTGGTGCAGTCTCAGCTCACTGCAGCCTCTGCCTCCCAGTTTTTTTTTTGTCTCCTGCCTCAGCCTCCTGAGTAGCTGGGATTACAGGCATACGCCACCATTTTTTTTTTATTTTTGTATTTTTAGTAGAGATTGGGTTTCACCATGTTGCCAGGGTCTGTTTTTTTTTTTTGACCTCAAGTGATCTGCCTGCCTTGGCCTCCCAAAGTGCTGGGATTACAGGTGTTAGCTACTATGTCTGCCCAGTAAACTTTTAACTTAAATGATATTAATTGCTGTCTTTATAAAAGAATGAGAAAACAAATTCTCTTAGGGAAATAAGTGATGTCAAACCAGTTATTGACTTTTTTTTTTCTCAGCTATTTTAGCCATTCTTTAATACTCCTAATTCTAAGTTCTAAAGTGTTTTTTTTTTTCAGAATTTGGAGAGTTGTAATGAAGTCCCAAATTTCATGATCTTGCTGTTTTTTTTTTTTTTTTACTCTCATTCCCTTTGAAAGATTTGTATTTAATGTCTCAATTTATTATTTTTTTTTTAGCCAAAAAATGCAAAAACCACCATCACAATAAGATAACAAGCCATAAACCTTTACATTGTAAACATGTTCATTTACCCACTAAGTCTAGTCGAGAAAATGATTCCTGCTACTTTTTTTTTTATGAATATTGAAAGTAATGATGCATAATCTCACTATAGAGCTTTAATGCTTTTTTTTTTTTCAACTGGATTATTAAAAGGGTTTGTGAAGGCCAGGCTTGGCAGCTCACGCCTTTTTTTTTTGCATTTTGGGAGGCTGAGGCAGGTAGATCACTTGAGGTCAGGAGTTCGAGATCAGCCTGGCCAACATGGTGAAACTCCATCTCTACTAAAAATACAAAAATTAGCTGGGCATTTTTTTTTTTGCCTGTAGTTCCAGCTACTTGGGAGGCTGAGGCAGGAGAATTGCTTGAACCCAGGAGGTGGAGGCTGCAGTGGGCCAAGATAGCACCACTGCACTCTAGCCTGGGCAACAGATTTTTTTTTTGTCTCAAAAAAAAAAAAAAAGTGAAAGAGAGGCATCACTAGAGATGCTATATTTTTTTTTTCAAGAAAACATATTGCTGTCAATGTTACACCAATAAATTCAATGACTTTGATTTTTTTTTTTCCTTGAGAAACACAAATGAACAAATCTGACAAGAAATAGAAAGTTTGAATTTTTTTTTTTCTGTTAAAGAAATTATATTCAAAATTGTAAACCCCTCCAACAAGAAAAATTTTTTTTTTTTATGGCTTCCCTGGTAAATTCTCACAAACATTAAGGAAGAAATAATGCCAACTTTTTTTTTTTTTATAAGCATTAGAGATTGTTATTATTATTATCAATATTGTTTTCATAAGTTTTTTTTTTCAGTTATCAGCTTCCAGCTTGAACCTGGGAGGCAGAGGTTGTCACGAGCTGAGAACATGCCACTGCACTCCAGCCTGGGTGACAGAGTGAGACTCTGTCTCAGAAAAAAAGAGGGGGGCGGGTTGTGATGGTAACAATATGTTCTTGCTTGGAAATAAATAACAATCAATAAATTTTTTTTTTGCTAACATGAGAGTTAGGTAAGTTGAATGGTTCTGCAGTTACTTGTAGAGATTTTTTTTTTTACATTAATTTAATGTAATGAATTTAATTAATTAATTAATTTTTTGCATTCTTTTTTTTTTGTTCCACACCCAGGACTACATTAATGTAATTAATTAAATATATTAATTAATTTTTTTTTTTTATCCATTAATTAAAGAAATTACATTAACATGAACCAGGAGGTTAAAAAAGTTTTTTTTTTTATAAGCAATATAAAATTTACTTTACAACATGAAGATATTAAGAGATACATGGTAGACATTCAAACAATTTGCTCTTTTAAATCACAGTATCACATGCAGCAGGCATTAAGGTTTTTTTTTTAGGATAATAATGCCAAGGGGTAGTCTCAGATCCTGTGGGAACTTGCCTATACTTGAAGTGAATTGAAAAATACTTCCTGGTTTCACTAGGCTGAAAGGAGCACCTTCATGGACCAAATTCCCACTGCATCCCCTCCTGTGAGTTGTGGTCAAGGTTCCAGAACACCACTGTGAACAGTTCCCTAGGTGGGTAACAACATTGTGTAAATTAATTTATAAAATTGATTCACTAGGATTTTTTTTTTAATAAAGGGTCATAAGGCAGAAAATTCTTCCCCTGTTTAAGGGAAGGCAGAGGTTTATAAGAAGTCTGATGAAAGGAGTGTTGTCACGAAAGGTGATTCAATTTGGAATGAATTCCTTTGAAAGAGAGAACAGTATGCCTCTCCCTGCAGGAAAAACCAATAACTATTAAAAGTGGATTCGTTTTCATGAATCCAGGTGTTTTAAATGACTTCTACCACCTGCACTTCCCTCTACACTTTACTAGATAATAAGTATCATTTAACACATTGTTCTAAAATGTATTTTATTTGGCACTTTTTTTTTTTTAGTGATAGATGCCTTTATAATGAATAACATTTGAATTATTTATATTACTTTTTTTTTTTACAACAATCACACAATAAACATGGGTGTAACGCACACCATGTGCCAAAACATTCTAAACACTTTATTAACAGTACATATAATGTTGGAAAAGAACTGAATGGATAGAATGCATTTTTTTTTTAATGAAAAGGTCAAATACCATATAAGTTATCATTTACTACCCCATAATTATTTTTTTTTTTTTTGTCACATTATAAATTAAATAAACCTTCCTATGTGTGATATATTTTAAAATTACATTTGTAAAACTATAATACTTTTAATAAATATAATTTAACTAAAAATAAACTTTTATTTTTTTTTTGACACCCAGATTAAAACAATGATTGTGTAGAATTGATGGTGATTTTTTTCCTTTTCTCTCTTTTTCAGATTTTCTATATGTGAATTTATATCTTTTAGTGAAATAAGTGCATTTATTTTAAAAAACAGCATTAATCATGTACCCTCCTTTCAGTTATGTGGCTGATGATTCTTTTTTTTTTTTTCTCTGATCATAGATAAAATATTCTTCTTGAACATCTATTTAACATGGCTGTTTTTTTTTTACAATTTTATTTAAATCTCTTGCACGTCTCCTTGAAAGTGTGCTTCAAGGATTTTTTTTTTCGCATAAAATAGCTTCTGAATGTCTCCTTCTTTCAAAAAATGTTGATGATGTTTTTTTTTTATGGAACTGAAAAAATTTCATTCGGAGGCCAGAAACATAACTTTACAGAACTTTTTTTTTTGGCCACAGAAGGTAGGCTGAGAAGCATGGAATCTGTTATACGTAGCATCAGTTTTTTTTTTATGAGCAGTGGCACGACTGCTCCACATGATGCAGCTAGGCTTAATAGATTTTTTTTTTTTTCCAATACTCTGATCTAATCAATAACAAACTTTACACAAAGGTGTCCCTTTTTTTTTTTTTTGAATCAGTAAACATTTGTCTTATTCTAATAAGACTATCATAAGGCAGGAACTTTTTTTTTTCCTGGATCTTATCAGCAAAAGGCAGTTACTAGAGTAAATCGTTTTCTTTCTTGCTGATGATGATAACTAACGGTGCATGAATCTGTGAAACATGTAATTTCCTGGATACTTGGTACATTTCTTAAAAAAGATTTTGTCTGTGGTTTTCATTGCCTCTTTAAAAATTCTAACTTTTTTTTTTTTAGTTTTAAGATCAAAAAAAGAAAAGAAAAAAGAAAAATTTGAACTTGAAAATTTTTTTTTTATTAACCTTTTATCTCTGATGTTGACACTAACTTCTTTCAAAGTTTTACTTTTTTTTTTTTAAGAAATCTGAAACCATCAATACTGTAAAAATATTTCTACAAATATAGTATTTTTTTTTTTACAGTAAATATATCCTTCATTTAACCTAAGGGCTTAAATTAAAAGCCACAATTTTTTTTTTATGAACAATATATTTATGCCGTACTCTAACTTCTAGACAGGACTTTCTGTTTTTTTTTTTTTTATAATATAAATATTCTTAGACCCAAATCTCTGCATTGGAAAAACTTGAGTTTTTTTTTTATCCAAATTCTATGCCAAAGAGAACAGAGAACTAGCTTTAAAGTTCGGGAATTTTTTTTTTAAATTGTAGATTTATTATTTAGATAAAAGGAACTCAGAGCATGAACAGTAATAGAGAATTGGTATATTGGAGAGTCTAAAACCTCTATTAGGAAAAAATACATTTTGTTCTATTAAATGACACTAGAGTAAACTCAGGTAAAGGCAAACAGAGTGATTATCTGGGAAACACATTTTTTTTTTTCTTTGTATTCAAACAAAGAATGGGTCTATTCAGGAGAATAATTCACTGGCCTTTTTTTTTTTGCAGTAAATTTTCTTTTCATGGAGAAGCATAAAAGACATCCAAATATTATTTTTTTTTTTGTGCTGGAGGTCATTTAACTTGCTTCCAATTGACTTGGCTGAATATTAGGATTTTTTTTTTCAGATGAGATGAAGACATCATTTAAACAGCAAAATGGGACAACTCATAAGGTTTTTTTTTTGGCACTTCTTTTGGGGTAGACATAGAGAAAGGAAGCAGAGAATTGCATTCATTTTTTTTTTGAATGAAGAGAATCCAATATTTCTCTTCTACCTTTGAAGTTCTATGTTTATTTTTTTTTTTTAATCTAATAAGCACAATA